GCCGATTTCATAGTGATGCAGCACAAATTTGCGTTGCTTTTAGAAAGCATAGGGGGAGGTGAAGTTAAGAGTAATTTTAAATGGTTTATCTTAAAAATAGGGCATGGAAGGGTCTTATTCGCAAATTTGTTTATTGGCTAGCAGCTAGGTTAATCGTACTGCATTTTTCGTTCCTCAGAGACAGTTGATAGAGTTTGCATGGCTGTCTTAGTCGATTCTACACCACATTACTGTTAGTGTTTTGTAAAAGAATATGTGCCAAATATATGTAAGATTTCAGTAATTTTTCAGGTTGCTTGGTGATCACAGTGGACTTGCTAAAGCGCACGGAAATTTAGGAAATACTTATAAAGCAATAGGTAATTTCGATAGCGCTTATGAACACGTCGTAGCGCACTTGCGATTAGCGCGAGAAATTGGTGATAAGGTCAGTGCGATTCTGCCTCTTTTGCTTCTCAAGAATTTGCGAAGATTCGAGTACCATTGTCAAAGCTTGTCATTTTATCATTGGGGCTAATTTATTTTCACGATATATGGAAATACTAAGGCTTTCGTTTTTGTGCCGTTGCTAGACGTAGCTGTATTCATTCGGACTGCATACAGCTAGAAAGAAAGCTACCGGAGCCAGCACATGTGAAGAAGATGGTACTTCTAATGCAACAGCGACGCATGTTTGAAGATGTGGATGCATATGGGATATCTGGAACAGCCCTCAATTTATAGTCTGCTTCGCCAGCTATGAACTTGTCAACTTTTCTAGTTGCTTCGAACAATGCTGCATTGCCTTAGGAGTGGTTTTTGTCGTTTCGTCTGCTGCAGAAATTACCAATTCAAAATCTCCTAGCAAAGCTTCAGCTGTTTCGGGATGTCTTTGATGCGCGCTGAGCTCCACTGGTTCGCCCCGAATGTTGGCATTCCTAAACTGAAGTGAGCTCCTTATTAACCAGACGTATAAAAGCTTATTGTGTTCTTATCTGTAGGAATGTGAAGCACGAGCGCTTTACAATGTTGCGTCTGTGTACCACTGCCGCGCAAAAGCAA